GCCTCCTTAGAGGCTACTAACATACGGTCCCACTAAAGGTTCACAAAAGCATGTACTATTCGTTTAAAAAAAGAGGTTGAGTAAATGTAGAAAATTTGTATACGCTTGGGAGTATTTTCAGAGCAAATACATAAGACATTGCGAACTATGATTGCTCTGAGGAGGGACCTGGGGAACCAAGGATCATAGGTGATCAGAGGACATTCTTTTTACTGGATATTCTTTTGTATCATTTGACTTTTTACCATGTGCAGATATTACCTTAAAAAATTACTCGAGGAGGGTGGGGACTACCAATTGGTATTTGTTGAATACTGGCTATGTTTCAGCCACTATTAACTGGTTTTACTATAATATCTCCTTTAGAGTTGGTTACTGTAAAATCCCCTTTAATCTGTATGACAGCCTTATGTAAAGCCCCATTTTACAAAAGGGAAATAGACCCCGGTAATACCAGTCACTCTGTACACACAGCTGATAAATGGCGATGTGGGAAACTGAACTCGGCTCTCTCCGATTTCTAAAACCATGCTCAGTCCCACAGACTATCCTGCCATCACTTGAAGTCTTTTGGAAGGAACCAAATTGATAAGACAGTAGCTTTGAGACGACTTTGTAAAAACCTGAAGGAATACTGTGAAATCCTATCACACGATTCACACAGTAAATCTTCCTCTTCCCAAGGCTTCCTGTCGAACACTGTTCGGGCGTGCCTGCCTGGAGATGAGCCCTCCCGAAGGCGCCCTGAGTCCCTTGCTGGTCCTCGGGGTGCTCAGTCTGTAGGGAGATGTACCTGCTCTTACGTGCTTTTCAGTAAACCACTCAGTCTACACGGGAGAGTCTCAGGTAGAAGCGAATGGTCACTACCAGTCACTGCTCTAACCCTCCTGAGCGTACAGATTCTTCATTTATTTAACAATTATCTTTTGAGTGGTCCCTCTGAGCCAAGCGCTCTTCTTAAGTGTTAGAATTATTGAGGTGAACTAGGCCCTTGCGCCCGCACAGCATCCGACCTGGTGTGGGAAAACAGGTGATAAACAACACAAACAAGCACACAAATGAGCAAAACGTCAGACAATAAGTATCTTGAAGCAAATGAAAATAAACCTGACTGGGTGGCTACCTCAGCTTGGGTCATCAGGGAAGGCCTTCTGAAGAGATGACATTTACCCCAATGACAAGAATGACGAATATGTCCTGGGAGCTACTGTCCTTACAAACAAAGTCGGGCTCCTTTTGTATGCTCCAGCCCTCACCAACTTCCATGCCATGCTCCGATTTATTTACAGCGTGAATACGTAACCTCAGAAGTTAGAGCTGGAAAGGACCCATCTCACGCCATGGTTCTAGACATGAGGGCAGAAAGATCCAGAAAAGTGAAAAGAGCAGGTCACACAGCCAGTTAGGGGCAGCACCAGAGGCCAAAGGCCCCACCTCTTAACCCACACCTCTTCCACAAATTGAGACCCATTCTCTCCTTATCTCCCCAGTGACCATCTCTTCACTGTAGAATCCTCACCCTGAGGGCCTGCCTCTCTGAAGTCTAAGTCTTCCCTGGACCACTGGGGACCTTCTGGAATGCTATTAGGAGTCCTAAGCATGCAGAAGGGTTCTGGGGGCCAAGGTGACAGCTGAAGAAAAGGTACAACTTCCCACAGTTCGATTTTACCACAACCCAGACATGCCCTAGACCTGTCCTGGCATCCCCACCCTGCCCGCAAGGGCTTCCAAGTTTGGGAGCTGTGTGGCTCATGAACCTAAGGAATACTGAACATCTCTCTTCAGCAATGCTCCCTGATGTAACCAAGTCAGTATGAAAATGTTCTATTCTAGGATCCCAATCCCCCCAAAAGCCTTTATCAAAAGATTACCCACAGAATTTCTTTAAATAACAAGCTCCCTTAGCACACTTAAAGTACGATCTATGAAAACTCAATCTACATAAAGATTTTATCTCCCCTCACCCAAAAAAACGAGCTCTTGTATCAAGGGCAATAGCATAAACTTGATTCTTCATGATGGCTTTTAGACTCTTGTATTATGTAATGGTTCTCATTCATTCTACGTATATTTATTGAGCTATGCAACACGATCCTCCAGGTTGCCATGAGGACACGACAGTATAAAGACACAGCCTCTGTCCTCTGGAAGCATCACACATACAACTCTAACACAGGCAGATGTGACGAGTACTACAACAGAGTACGGACCAAGGCTACAGGGGATAAGGGAGCAAAAAATTATATCTTGGCCAAAGATCAGGGATGGAGCCTGCAACATTTTAATTGGGCTTCAAAGGATGATTATGATTTGTATAACTGGACCATTCATTCCAGGAAAAGAAAACATCACGACACTCTGTACGGAGAACAAGACATACAAGGGCACATTCTCAGAACAGAGAGGAGTCCAGTGTAGCTTGACGGTGAGATGGGAAATGGTGAGGAAGAGAAGACGGGTGTTGGAAAAGAGACCAGAGCCTTGAATGCAAGAATAGATAGAGTTTGGGCCCAATCCACAAACTGCAGAAGCTATGAGCAGGTTTTGGGCAGAGAAAGAACTAGAATTGTGGCTTGGGAAGCTCTTTCTAGAAGCCATGTCCAGGGCTGATCTGAATGGTTCAACGTGGGCGTCAGGGAGAAGGAGGCCCATTTAAAAAATTATCCACATGGTTCCCAGATCATATAGAAATAAGGAATAAATTCAAGAGTTAGAGTAGAGGTAGATCTGTTAAGGAGGCGTGGGATCCAACCCCCAGGAAGGAGGGTCTAGTTTTGGAAAGGGCTGGGGGTCCCAGGCCTCAGATTCCAGCCTAAGGAAGAGAAGGCAGCACAAATGATGGGAAGTGGTGTCTCTTTAAGACAGGACGGTCGTGAGAGGGCCCCTTACTTGAGACAGTAATCATGAGTCTACTGAATAAAAGCCACCCTAGCTGGGTGTCTTCTGATCCATGTATGAAGCCTCTGTTTTTAATAACTCCTCTTCTGGAGATATACAGAAGCGCCTGTTGTACATGCCGGCCCAGACACTCCTTGAATGATTATGTCTCCACAGCAGCAGTGAAAAGCAGCTTGACTGGGGTAAGGAGTGGAAGCCCAGGGAATAGCCATTTTGGGACAAATGACAACTCAGGGGAGGGGCGGCAGCTTCAATCACGAACCCTGGGCATAATGGCAGGCTTACAGCCAAAAAGCCCTGATATGAGGAACACATGACAGATCGAGGTCTTTGGTTTGAAAGATAAGGCCCTGGGTCCCACCACCTGAGACACACATGCCTGGTTTCACAGGTGAGCATTCTCATAACCACCTGTCCACGGCTCTCTGTGACAAGATGGTGACTTTCACGAAGTTTATCTCTGGCTTCTTTTCCTGGCTACTCTCTTTGGAACTACATCACCTGGTTTCCATCCTAGTCAGAGCCATGCTGACATCCTGAAGTCTGTTCTCAGCCAACTGGCCCACAGCGTCTGCAGAGTCTGTAAATCAATGCTTCCCAACGTGATTCACAGAATATGATTTCATGGGTAAAGGGTTCTCGTGATAAATCATTTGGGGAAATGCCAGATTAAATAAAATTAAAGATGTTTCTTTGCTGTAAGACACCTCTATTGGCAACAACATGGATGGACCTTGAGGGTGTTATTCTAAGTGAAGTAAGTCAGACAGAGAAAGACAAACACTGCATGATTTCACTTATAAGTGGACTCTAAAACAAAAGAAAAAGAAGAAAACCTAGTTCACAGATACAGAGAACAGACTGGTGGTTCGTCAAAGGGTACAAAGTTCCAGGTGTAAAGTAAATAAGTCATGGGCGTGTAATGTACAGCACGCTGACTGCGGTTAATAATACTGTGTTGCATATTGAAAGCTGCTAAGAGAGTAGATTTTATAAGTTCTCGTCACAACAAAAAAAAAATTTTGGAACTATGTATGGTGACGGATGTTAACTAGACTCTCTGTGGTGATCATTTCATAATATATACAAATATTGAACCATTATACTGTATACTTAAAACTAGTATAACGATGTATGTCAACTATCCCTCAGTAAAAGACACCTCTGAACATTCAAATGCTAATATGTTCTGAGAATCTCCCAGAGTGAGACAGAGTAGACCGCATCTCTCGGTCTTAATTATCTGGAAACCATTTCTCAGCAAAGCGTCTAAAGGCACAAGTGCCCTGCCGAACATTCTCGGGAACACCAGTGATGAAATTACTCTCAGGAACATTTGCATTTAACTAGGAATCAGGTATAATAATAAAAGCCAATACCTAGTAAGTGCTTACTATGTGCCAGGCACCCTTCCAAGTCCTTTACATATATTAATATATTTAATCCTTATAACAACCCTGTGTTATTGGTACTATTATTATTATCCCCATTTTTCAGACGAGGAAGCGGAGGCACAGAGAAGTTAAGAGATTTGCTCAAGGTCCTAGGACAGACAATTTAGTGAGTAGAGGAGCTGGGGATTGAACCTAGGCAGTCTGGCGCCCACGTAAATTAACGCCTAATGGTAGAATTTCAGACACTGTGGTCAGCTGGCAGTGGGAGAGATCCTGAGAAGAGCCTTGCATGGCAAGCCTCCAGTCACAGGAAATCCAGACTTGTGTGCTCATAAATTCGGCTTCACAGGCCTCCCCAGTATACCGTGTAGGACACGACTTCTGAATTACACCATGATTCGGTTTCTCCACCTAATTGTGTTATATGGTGCATGCACACTCTTCCGTTAAAACAAAGTCATGCTGCAGACAGCACCGCTACCAATAAAACAGAAATACATAGGGACAATCATCTCTTCATTGACCAAAGTAGCAAGAAAATGAAGATGCAAGCTTGAGAAATGGCCTCCCCTGTGTTATTAAAGTATTGATCTCTTGCTCTCCAGCTCAGAAAGCAAAACCAAGGTGCCATTTTCCTCCAATGTGTTGCAGACTTTCCGATCCCCACCCCCTCTACTTAGTATGAGAATTGCCAAAGACATGTCCTACCCTCTCCCACTTCCTCTCCTTGTTCAGAAGTATGATCACCAGTTTCGGGTGCATCTGGTAGCCGTCTTCACTGAAGGACAGATTTCTCCCTTCAAAAGTCACATTGATCAGATACCTGGAAAGATAAAATACAGAGAAGGTTGAAAGTACGAAGAAGGTACGCTAGAACAAGATGGTTAGGAAGACAGAGAGAATGGGCTGGAGGCAGACACGTAGATAGCGGTACAAATACCACGTAAAGCTTGTACCCCTCGGGCTCCCATCTGATGATCCAGTACCGTCATCCAAGTTTTCACATAATAGAAATAATAAGAAAAGACAGAAATTTGAAACAAGGGCAGTGGGTTTGACTTTAGTCTGCAGCTATGACTGAGCAACTTATTTAGCCTTTTGAACATCAGTTTTTTCACAATCTGCCAAAAATGGGGTAATAAAGAACCTGCTCTATTAGGTTTGTAAGGCTTAAATTAGAGAGCTCACCACGGGGCCTGGTGCAGAGTAAACTCTCATTAAGTGTTAACGATTAGTATTCAAAAAAGGAGCTGGATTAAAGGGCAGAGGTGGTAGAGACAAGACACAGTGAGTGTGGGCCAACACAACTTCCTGCTCAGAGAGCCTGGAGTTTAGGGTCTTTCTGCCTCCCAGAGATACGCCTACACTTTTGAACTCTTGCGATGTGCCTGCCCAGCCCATACTTCTAAGGGTTGCAAGATAAGTCCAGCAGTCAGGGATCTGGTTCCATGAGATGCATCTGGAAACCAGGGCTATTGCACTTTGTAGAGTGAACAGAAAATAGCAGGGGTGGGAGGTGGTGATGGGGGAGGAGGGAGAGACATTTCACAGAGTGTTCTAGGTTCAGGCACTTAAACTAACAGAAACTCTAATAATTAGAGTCAGACCAATGGAGTTGTCTCCCTCTCCAACACCTGTACCCCCCGCTCAGCCCATCCCCCTGCTGGCTGCTCGGACCTGATGAAGTTCCCTCACTGGGAATTCCCACAGGCGTGCTCATTCCAACAGCATTAGTGCGACTGTGCTGATGGTAATTTAGGTCCCTTTACCATCATGGCTCAAGGAATCAATAATGATTCGCTCTGTGTTCACATGACATGCTACTCTGGAGCCTCGCACCTGATGCTGCTGTGAGATGTGTCTCTGCTAAGAAGCAAAATGGGAATCTTGTGATTGTCCTGAGCATTCTAAAGGGCTTCAAACCTTTGACCAACAACGGTGTCCTACTACATCTGAAGGGCCGAAGAAGAATGTGCAGGAGGTAGCTTAAAGGCTCCTCTTTTAAGTCTTTTCATTCAACGGAACTGTGAGCCTCTTCTTTGATTCTTCCAGATAACATTAGGTTAAGCAACAAGGTTGCTAGGATGCCATGTCCTTCAGGCACTTCTAGAGATGACTAGGCATTGTGAACCAAATCCTCATGGACCACTTCTCACTTCTAGAGCCGCCTGGGATTTTTCAACCTGTCATTCCGGGGCAAATGCAATCAAGAATACGAATTTTGCAAATCAAGAATAGGAATTTTGAGATTCCTAGAATCTCAAAATCGGAAGAGACCTTCACAATCAATTAGCCACTTACTTCTTGTAGTTTATGCTTCCCTTCTACATAATAAAACCAGCCCTCTCAGCTCTTCTTGAATACTTCCACTGATGGGGAGCTTATCACTGTACACCCTACCCTCAAGGCAGCCATCTCACTGCTGGGCAGTTCTTTTTTACCTAAAGCTGAAATCTGCTCCCCTACCACCCCTAGATCCCTGTCTCCGCCTTAGATATTATACAGTCTTAGTCTAATGCTTCTTCCACATGGGAGCCCTTCAAGTATTTGAAGATATTTATCGTGTATCCCTTACAAAATAAATTTTAGTCTTTGAAGAAACCATAAGCTCAATTAGTTCTATAATTTTAACTTGATAGATCAGGGAACTGAAGCACAGAGAGGTCAAATTATGTGCCCAATGTTCTCCAGCTAATTGGGAGCAGAAATAACATTTTAAGCGCCATTCTCGATCCCATGTCCTCTCTAGCACCCCAACCTGATTCTCGTATGCCACAGCAACTTTAATATCCCTGGTTCCTTCATGTGGTCCTGCTATGCTACGGCTTCAGCTCCCTCCCTCTATCCCCTTGGCCACACTCTCTGGACACCTGCAGTTGGTAAAAGTGTAGCATCCCTGATTCCGCTCAAGGCTCCACCTGGCGTCTTCGCCATTGCCTGTGCTGTTCCTCCTCTCAGCTCGGTGCTGCCTGCTCCAGCCCGTCACTGCTGAGAAGGTGATACTCGGGTCTCCTGCAGTTAACAACAACTTCAACACTGCAACCGAAGCCCCATATGATTCACTTCAGGGAGTGTAATTACAAAAGCACAAGACACAATATTTTAAACTAACAGACCAGAATTTAAGCACCCAACATAACCAACTTGAAAAATATGTTCTTACGACAACAATATGGTGCGGCTTAGAGTAATTTCTGGAAGTCTGCAGAGAAGGTGTACAAAACATGTAAAAAAAAATTAGTCCTGCCTCTGTTTTGGAAGAATGCAAGAGAGGAGGGGGAGACGGAGAAGGAAGGAAGGAAGGGAGGGAGGGAGGGAGGGAGGGAGGGAAGGAAGGAAATGGAAAGAGAGAGAGAAAGAAGTACGAAGGGAGGGAGGGAGAGAGGGAAAGAGGGAGAGAAGGAGGGAGGGAAATAAATTATCTGGTTTAAGCACCCTCCTTTTCACCAGACAAGGCTCTGAATAATTCTGACTTTATCTAAAATGCCATTAAGAATATTTCAAAGAAAGTGTCCATTTCAGAAGGCAATTATAAAAGAGGAGCTCCAAAAATCATGTAAGTAATAAGCAGCACGCATGGAATAAGTAAACAGCCTCTCAAGATGACTTCTTTGAAAGGGGACAGCACTGAATTAAGTGGGTAAGTTGAGAAATTCAAACTCCGAGAAAATAAACCACGTTCACGGGTAACTGCTCTGTAGTTAATTTCTCTAATTGTCCCTGCTCCCGAGCCTTTTGATTTTCCTTATACATTTCTCTCTCTCTGGAACGTTCACCCTCTTTCAGTTTGACACGTTCATTTTATTCTATGTTGACATTTCTCATATATTGTACTTATCAAAAATAGTACTAAAATGTTATGATGATACACAAAATGCTCTTCTCCAAAGTATCCTTTAATCATTCATATCCTTCAGCAGTGTATAGAGTGATCATTCACATTGTGTTTTTCTGAGTAATTCCCTGAGACGTGCCAACATTTAGCTATTAGTGAGGAGCTTGCAAATATATACTCGCCTTGAGCAAGGATGCCCTTTGAATAGCAGAAAAGACCGATCCATTCATTGGTAATGAAAAGTGTGAAAAAATAATCGGGAGTGTGGTCACTTTTAGGCATGTGACCTTGGCCTTGAACCTGACTTTTTCCTCTTTAAAATGGAAACACCATTTTTTACCTCCAGCTTATCAGGTTGTGATGATCACATGAAACAGGGGGTAGAAAAATGATATAAACTGTGATGCAAATATAAGGTTATATAGAATAAAAAATAGATATTAGCCTGATTTGAGTATCTAAAGGCGAGGAACCTGCCTCATTTTTGACCTCAGTGAGTAAAAGTGGGATGATTACATTTAATAAGACCAAATGGTCCATGGAACACACGGGAGGAATGGAAATTGTATCTCACGTATGGAGGATAAACTAGGTCAAATGGTCATATTAATTTAATTTCCATAAGACCTGAAAATATCCAACTACCTTTGAATCTGGCTGTACTTTGTCAATTTTGAATATTAATTAAATTAAAACCTCAAAACTTCCATGTATAAATTCTCAGTAAAGGATTAAACTACAAGATTAAGAGATGCCACGGCAATTCTGTTTTTCTCTAAAAATGTCATCCTCAAGTATGAATCAGAAAACCTAGCTTCAAGTGGCAGCCATATTCAGAAGCTCTGTCCATAAAACTTTAGTCCCCTGGGAGGCCCATCAAGGTTTGGTACATAAAAATATTGCTTGATTTGTCCCTGGGATGCAGCAACCTGATGGCTTGTCTCATAAAGTTCTAACATTACACAAATCTCAGATTGCCGGAACTAGAAGAAAACTTAGGAACTATCCACTGAGAACTCTCATTTTAGAAAGGAGGAAACGGGTCCCAAGACGCTACCTGACTTTCGCAGGTGACTTGCCTGTTCAGGACTGCAGTTCAAGTCTTCGGATTTCAAGTTCAGTGTTCTTTTCCTTACATCACCAAGTAAAGTGAAATCAGTGTCGCTGAGCCCCAGATGTGCCCCTTAGCATTCTCACATCACGTGCCATGCCCTGGTCTATGCAGACCCCTCATACAGACTGCAGAAAATAAAACCCATCTCATTTCCTGCCTGACCCTGGCTTGTGGAGAGTCTCAGAAAAGAACCCTGATGGGCTCAGAGCCAATACATTTGCTGCGTGTGGCCAGAGTCATCCTCCACTGGGTTTAATGGGGTCAAGTTGAGGTAAAAAGCCCTTGTGCCTCTTTGACTTTGACCATGCCACTCAGAGCTCATTTGCTGCAATGATTTAGCAGTACGCCCAGTGTGGGAGGTGTCGGAAGAGCTCTGCCAGAATTTTCCCAGCAAACCGAGAGCCTTGGCACCACAGTACTAATTGTGCCCTCCATATTTTCACAAGGCACTAGATTCTTTTTATGAATGTCTTTTAATGTGGTAATAAGAGAGACAAGTCTCTCCTCTCAGGCGATCCTTTCAATTTTCAGATAAGCAGATGAAGTCCAGAGGGTTCTGTGGCTTTACCAAGATCAGATGACAGGGCTGGAATGAGGATCCAGGTGTCCTCACCCCCCAGACCAGTGATCTTTCCACTCAACACCATGCCTCAAAAATGGTGGGGCTTCCCTGGTGGCGCAGTGGTTGAGAGTCCGCCTGACGATGCAGGGGACACGGGTTCGTGCCCCGGTCCAGGAAGATCCCACATGCCGCGGAACGGCGAGGCCTGTGAGCCATGGCCGCTAAGCCTGCGCGTCCGGAGCCTGTGCTCCGCAACGGGAGAGGCCACAACAGTGAGAGGCCCGCGTACCGAAAAAAAAAAAAAATGGTGGA